CTTCATCAAAATCCTGTTTACCCCTTTTTTCCTTTTCTAAAGAAAAATTATAGTATTTACTATAAAATTAGGTATATCTAATTAAAGATGAGATTATAAATCTATTTAATTGAATTTCTTGTCTCCTTGCTTGAAAAGAGACTAATAACAACATCTTGTTTATCGCGCATGGCTGTTGCCCACACGCAAAACCCCAAATGATATATTTAGCTATTTTTAGCTCTAAACGAAACTTCCACATATAGTTTAACTTTGGTCATGCTTGATCCATATATAAAATTGGGTACCCATATTTATACTCTGGTTAAACTTTTGTAGTATGATTTTCATATTTAATTATACTTGGAGGGCTAAACTGAAAATTCGTATGTGCAGTTCACCCCACTTTGAATAGTCAATGTCAAACAAACGCTCCATTCTGCATTTCATCTGATACTTCTAGACGCGACTTATATGAAATGATGTTAAATCATACACATATTATATATATGTGAGATTTAATATACTAATTTTTAACTATAAAGGCAGAAGGTATGAAAAATATTTAAATATCATATTCTGGTGTCCAATATAATATACATATGTTAATGGACCATATTGCATGCAGGACAAGACTATACAGCAATCAGAACTCAGAAGTAGTACATAACGCTAGATATGCGTACCAAAAAGGCAAATTATATAATGAAAATTACTTTCTGTTTAGCTTTTCATATATTTTTAAGTACAGTTGGTATTATTATGAATTTATGATCAGTCCTGATAATATAGACGAGACTATGATGTTTTATATATGACTTCATGTATGGTTGAGACAATACGAATGCATTATATCCGTGACTTCGAGCAGCCTTTAACAGCGTGGTATTTTTACCTTAAAGTTTGGTTGTTATCCATTCGAACTCTAAGATGAAATTATAAAATAAAAAAATAAATTGTGATTGTATATAAATCTTTTTCAAAACTCTCATCTCATCCGACAATAGAGATGAAAAAAAAAAAGAGAAAAAAATGAGATAAATTTGAAGTTGTTATTAAATAGAAGATACAAATGTATAGATTATAATTGATGTGATTTAATGACATGTTAATGAATTAATATTATTTTATTAAATGTAAAAAATAGTAATAACTTATTATGTTTTAATTGTCTTACTTGTCGAGAGAAAAATGTGAAACATTATAAATAATATTTTTATGAATATATTTTTTTTCTTAGTTTCAACAAGATACACTATGATTGAATGAAAAGAGTTGGAAAAAAATTTATATATCCAATCGATGTTTCTCTTTTATTTTATTTTATATTTTTAAAATAGATTAAATATTAAAGTCATAAATTTCGTTTAAAGTGGCCTGCGTATAAATTTATTTGATTATTTTAATTATTAACTAACTAAAAATCAAATAAACCACTGAATTAACACAAGTAAGAAAGATTTTGATTTGTTCTCCTTACTAAGTAAATAAACAATTATATGCCAAATTCAAATGTAACCAAAATAGGATAAATAGTGTTGATTTCAAAATAAAAATAAATGACAAATAATTGTTGATGGAAAAATAAAACCCATTTTATAATTTGGAGAGAGACTTCTCAAATACACCTACCCTAGGTAAATTAATTCCTTGATTGGTCCTAAATACTCTTTGAACTTTTTTTTCTTAAAATCCCCCACACTGGTCCTTTAGTGGATCCACTACTGGTCACAGTGTACAGTCGCAATCGCCGGCTGGCCGGAGTTATTTTTTATTATTATTATTATTGATAAAATTTTTATTTATTATAGAAACTATGTTAACATTTAGAAATTATTGTGTTATATATAAAATTTATTATCTTATAGAATTTATTATTATTATCTTAGAACTTAGAATTGATTATGCTATAAATTAAAATTGATTATCTTGTAAAAACTATTACATTATTCGAAATTTAATTAGTATTATAAATAAATTTTTATTTCTGGAGAAAGTATGATTTTAAAATATAAATATAAATCGTTATATTTATTTAATGTATATTTTTGTTAGTAGACAATAATAAAAATATTATATTATTTTTTTTACAGATAATTAGTATTTTGTTATATGGTGATAAATTTAAAGTGCTAAAAATTATTAGGTTATAAATTATAATTTTTGATATTATAGAATTATTTTTAATATTATTTGTAAATTAATTAGTACTAGAAATAAATATTTATTTATGT